CGCTTTGAATTTAGCTGTGCGCTTTTATTTGAAAGCCAATTAACAAAATAATAAAAAAAAAGAAATTAAGAAAAAAAATTTAATGTAGCGCATTTTGCCGTGATGACGGAAATATGTCTTTACATTCTAATATTTCCATACATGTACATACTACATAGACTATACATACTGTGGCGAACATTAACTTTAAAACAAGTTAACGTCGATTAAGCCACTTGTTAGGAAAATGTTCTTACATTAGTTACACTAGCTCCCGGAATATATCGACCCCTAATCGCCAAAAATATGTAAGCGACATTTTTATCAAAATTTTACTTCTGATGCAGAAATGCATCTAAATGCTCTAGGAACGTTTTTGCGTCAGTAATAAAAGTTTAAAAAAAAAAATTGTCGCTTATATCTTTTTGACGGTTAGGGCTCCATATATAAATACATACATTTTATTGAAATTTTCAATTATCATTCTTCTGAGGTGGATGCTTGAATATCTCTTCGAGCTGTGATATCAAGCCGATAACCCGATAGTTCTCCTCCAGCATTGCAAATTCTTCCAGGGGCTTCAACAATTTAAGCGCATCTTTGTAGTTAGTCACATGCCTTGGTAGTTCCTCCTCCTCGCGATCGCTATGTTCCGACCAATGACCAGGACTGTGTGTGGTTGGTTCAACATGCGCGCCAATCGATTCGATCTTTTGTATCTTCAACGGTCGCGGTAGCTCGACCAACTGATCGTCATTTCCCCGTTTTCTGTTATCGCCTGCTGCTGGAGTTGGTGATGCGACTGCAGTGATCAACGATGGAGCTGCTGGCGCAGCTGGTATTGGCCCCACTGGTGGCGGTACCAGCGTACTCAAACTCACCACCCTCAATGCAGGCACTTGCGCACCGCTACCGTTGTGTTTGCGGGGTTCACGTTTTTGTTGGTGCGCAATTTGCGTCGCTGTCGCTGTCACTGTCACTGTCGTTAGCTTTGGTGGGAGCTGGTGATGGAGTTGTGCCTTCGCAACTGGTGGCGTCGTAGGCGATGCCGATGGTGGTGGTGGTGGTGGCAATAGTTCACTTAAATTTGGTTTCACATCTTTCACCGCCTCATCTGCATCCAATTCAATAACTTCCTCCTTGATCTTGGCTGCCAACGCAGCAGCTGCTTGCTTGGGGCTTGGCATTCGTGGCGCTTGTGTACGCGACGCGGCGGATTCATCACTGCGCCGCAGGTTGAATGTGTGTATTTGTACAAGTGGCGTAGTTGCAGTTGCACTGGCAGCAGTGGCAGATGCTGAGGCATTGTGAGCAGCTCCATCGCCCTGCCATTGTGGTTTCGCTGTCTCTTTCGGCGCCAGCGTTATAGTGCTCGGTGCCAGTTTCTTGTTCTCCTGCCGGCTGCAGTAGCTAAGTATGTCTTTCAGATCCAAGGAGAGCGGCGGCGGACGCGCATCCTGTGATTCCTCTAGCATTGTTGGAACTGTGATGGTAATGTAGTGATCCAACCACTCTTTGTCCGGATAGAAGTTATCGATCTTCAGCATTTCCTTAAGATCGCAAGCCACTTTTCGCAGCGAGTTCTCATCCATGCGCATCTTGTGGTGATATCTAGCACGCTGCCAATACTCGAAGAGTGTCTTCGATAGAAAATTGATTTTACGCAGCCGGCGCTGCTTGATTTCTTGCAATGCTGCCTCATTTTCGCCCGAAACAGCTATGCGTGTGGCAGTGCGATAGAGATCAGATTCTCTGTCCTCCACCGGTTCGGGCGGAGGCGTCTTCGCGTCAGCTTTCGCTTGGTTTTTTGTACAAAATGTCATTATATCCTTGAGATCGAGTGAGACAGGCGGCGTGCGTGTGATTGTGATTTGTCGATTGGACAAAGAGAAATTGTACATGGCCTTGAAGTGATTCATCCATGCCTTAGTCGGCATAAAATTATCGATTTGTATGAGACTACGAAATTCGAATGCTTTCATACGTAAAAGCTCTTCGGTGATATGTGCCTTAGTGTGGAATTGCGCTCGCTGTATATACTCGTAAAGACATTCGCCTAGAAAGCGTATCTTGCGCGTGCGCCAGTCCTGTCCGTTGGTATCGTTAGGCATTTCCACATTTCTTGTCGCTGCATAAAATTTCATAATTGCATCGCGATTGGCGATTATATTTTT